AGAATGTTCATCTGAAAAGGGTAAAGGAAAAACTTATAACATCATGATATTAGACCAAAGTGCCGAGTACACTGTTTTTCATGTGTGGTTATAAAAACTAATAAAGAATTTAGTATTTGTACATGGTAACCAGAATGCTGATTTGAATATTTATCATAAGTGGCCAATAAGCATACAGGCAGACATGCAGAGACTCTCTTTTTCTGTCTGCTATGTGCACACCTTTATTAGCTTCATACACACTTTAACTGAAAACCACTTTCTTCCTGACTCACTCGCTTTTGTGTCATTTTGATATTTTTGAATGTTTTGCTTTTGGTTCATTTGCATGACACTGTCACCAGCATCAAGTCTTTTTCTGAAAAAAGAACAACACAAACTTTCGTTGCAGGTGGAAAACAACATGAAAGATTATAGCTAGTTGCAACGTCATGCTATTCAAACTAGATGGTTTGGTTGGGGGCTGATCCAGATACAATGAACCAGCATGGTAGGGAAATGTAAATGTTCCGGGAAAAAAAGAAAAGAAAAGAAAATCGGCCCTTTATGCAAGAGAAGTGACAGCACATCTACTAAAATGTTAACGCCCTGGTAGTGGTAAATATCTTTTGTTCTAAGTTTGATTTAAAACCATTATTTTTTATAAATAATATTAAATACTATAAATTGCAGAATAATCATGCAATTAACCCCAATTTTCAGCATATTTGTCAATGCCTGACAAGGTCAAAAGAGGAAGTTTACGCTCACAAGCTGCAGATAACACACTGTTAGCTTTGAAGTACTATTGAGCCAATAAAACTCTAAACTCACTACTTCTGATATATTTTGTAACTGTAAGGTTAACTCTGGGGAAGCCATGGTGAAGTGGTGCATAATGTAATCTTACCTCAGGCAACAATTAGTTTTACAACTAACGTTTATCAAGTGATGCTCTTACCTGCTCACATACCAGACACTATTGTTAACAACTTAAGAGCACAGGAAAACAATGTCAAGTACCTAAATCTAGTCACCAAGCACTTATACTGAAATACAGAAAATGTGTCTGAGTGCAATTTCTAGTTAAGTTTTGTGATTAATGACAATAAGAAGATAAGAAAATCAGAATTGGCCAAAAAAAGAAAAAAAAGAAATGCAATCTATCATCTATCTATCTGATAACATTGGTGACAAAATGCATAATTTGTGACAATAACATACAACTAATACTGTTTTGTGCTTATCAAAGTTAATACAAAATACTGAGTTACAAGTAACCTATATTTCAATTAGCTCATACTAATTGCAGATGCTTGTATTAAAGCAAATCTTCCAATATGGGGAGTACACCATGTGCACACAAGATATGGCTTCATCTCAAAACTACAAAAACAAGAAAAACAAACTACCACTAGAAGTAAATTATTGTGTACTCTCTCTCTCTCTATATATATATATATATTCATATTTTAAAGTGTACCTTTCCAGGGTAAAGTTGCACAAAACGTACAATACATTGACATTACACACTACTGGTTGAAACACGCATTTAAAATGGTGTGTAGAGACTGAGTTTCTTTTCTTTTTCAAATAAAGGGTGGACTGTGACGCCGGCGCCTGCTCAGTGCTTCTGTGTACTTGTAGCTCGGGGCCCCAGCAGCCATTGTGATACACGTAAAGGCGTAACTTATTGCCTAACAATGTGAATGCTACAGTAAATTACCCTGGTCGATACCGCAAACGTCTGTGCCGTTTACGTGCCACTTCTCTGGGAACCGTACGTCCCTTCGTAATAATGCATTTCAACTCTTCGCTCCCCCTCAAAATGACGTCTCTCTCTGTGCGGCGGCACGTACAGAAAACAACGGCGCCGCGACGGCGGCCCCTCTGTATTACGCCAGACTGCCTCTCTCTTGCCCGATTCGGCCATTTTCTCTTACCCCGCGACTAAAAACTACCGCTTGTTTCCAGGAAGACTCTGGTATTTGACTAGGAAATATATCGATGTAGCGCTACACGGTGATATGAAGTCGTTCTTACCGTTTATGAAGAGAAACGCATCCCTATGATTGTTGACCGCTGCGGCGCTTGCGCACTTTGGGCATACCGCCTGACTTCCTGCGGAGCAGCACTCGCCTCATTGTCACAAAACTCCTATGTAACTGCACTTTCGGTTGGGTTTAATCCCTTACGTTGAATGATATATTGAACTATATACATAATTTGATGAGTTACAAATACATTTTACGGAAAAAGTGTACATTTAAATTTGAGTAATTAATGCCGTGTAAAACAACGTCGACGATTAATAAGTAAGAAGTTATGTATTATATTATTTCACACTTAAGTTGGATGTCATATTAATCGCATAACGACACTGGATTTAAAAACTGCGCTTCGACTCCCCCTAGCGCTCCACGAATTCCTTTCACATTAGTGCTGCACTCACCCCTCCTTCGTAGTTCAATGTCTAGTCATTTCCTTTCTGACAATTCTGTGTAAGGTCCTCCATCAACACCGGTTTGTTGGTTAAACTCAGTTCCCAAAGACTTTAAGCCTAACGTTTTCTGTTAGTCTAGCTCAATCACGTCTCTTGGGGTATCCACCAGTCCAACCATCAGATTTCCAGATTTTGGTGTTGTGTATGTTCCTGTTCTTAATATCCCCTGATGCAGTAGAGGGACATGCATTAATTTAATTCCACGAGGGTGGAATTAGGAATCATACAGCATTTTCTTAATCTTATTTTGACACTAGGAGCTTGTGAATGCAGTTACTCCTTGCTAGGTACTATTTGCTACAGATTTTCCTGATATTCCTACTAAAAGTGGGGGTTTGGGGTAGCACATTAATTTGGCCTTTACGGATCCCACACTGGGGAAATTCTCCCCAAGTCTGGCGGTGATCCTTGTTCATGATTAAAAAGCAACAGCACTACTAACAGCAGTACTGTTGCCTTTGTCGGATTTAACTGATTTGAGGCTAGTGCACAGGTTCCCAGGGTGGGTGGCATGCTCCTTGGTGGGGTGCAGTGCCATTGCAAGGGGGGGCATGGATGAATGAAATGTAACAACATATTTTCCAATGCTGTAAATGTTTAACAAGTTGCTTTTTGCTGTTGCTCATTCAATCTGCTCGGAGCAGCAGTTGCATAGTTGTGGCCTGGTGGTTACCAAGAACGTGGGTCTAATTTGTAATCTCTGTCAATCAATCAGTCGGTGGCGCCAGCATCTTTATGTAAAGCCGAGAGGAGTTTTACTGCACTCCATAGGTTAAAGACATGGTTATGAGCTACCGTGGCCAAACAAACACTCAACAATGTAGTCGTATGTAATCTCTGCAAAGATAGACTGGAAAAGCTCAACATGAAAATGTTCTGCGAGGAGTTTGTTGGATCCAGTGACACAAGAAGAAGTACATTTGATTCTTGTTGTTTACAGAAGCGGTGTTTATCTTCTATAAGGTGGACATGTTTGAGTGTGATTGACAGACATTGTACGGGCTAACGAAGTTCATACCGCTAGTGATCAATGACTTTTCTGGAAGGCTACTGTGTGTTATACTAGTAGCATATGTTTGTCTGTGAATGTGTGTGCATATGTGCGTGGGCTTCGGAAGAGAGAGAATGGTTGCTGTCGTTTATACAGGAGCTGTTAAAACACTTTATGTTCCGTTGTGCTCGATGTGGCTGATAATAAAGATCCCAACCCCTGTTTCTGTTTACCTCTGCTGCGAACAAGCACAAAGTGAAGAGAGTTAGCCCCGGAGCTTAGCTTCGGCCCTGCAGCAGATCACTAAGACTCCCCTGTACATTCCAACTACAGTCAGGGCGGTGAAGCAGGAAAGAGCTAACATATAACCAGCTGTGTTACAGTCACTGAGTGGAAGAAAAGCATTTATTTAATTAAAAGTGAAAAAAATCTTTCTGTGTAAATATCCCATGTTACAACATGGGCACCTGTGGCTTATAGAGAGGTGTGGCCTATATGCAGTATGTACAATTATTTTTTTCTTTTTTCTTTTTTCCTGGTTGCAGCTTATATTCAGGTGCCCTCAATAGTTCGGAAATGATGGTATTACTATCAGATATTCATTTTGCACTGCCTTCAACCAATCTGTTTTTTGCCAGTCTCTTGTTAAACAAAAGACAATATGCTGCTTTATGTTTAATTTCTTTATTCCATCCACAACCCCCCTGCACTACAGCCCCCAAGGGGCGTGCCACCCACTTTGGGAACCTTTGCTGTAGTGGATGCCATCAAGTCCTTGTAGTTGCCTTATCTTGTACACCAATCTCGAATGGATAACAATTGGTGGATGGTCGGGGCAGATAAAAATGATGGATCTATTCTATTGCAACAATAGCTGGTTCTCTTTTTTTTTTTTTTTTTTTGCAATTGTACCCCCTCCAGCATGCACCAACCAACAGTAGATAACCACCTGTGGCCTATTCCAACAGCTGGCTCTGCTCTGGCTGCTACACACCAGCTTCACTGGAGGATTTCAACATAGTCTTGATGGTAGTGAAGCTCCGCTTTTAAAGTTTTGGGCTTTCTATCTGAGGTCTTTGGTTGCGGAGCTCAGTGGCACCATCAAACACCCATCTTTATCCTTTTACAAAGTTTTTTAATCACTTTTGAGACAGATGTTTGGAACTTGAGTAAGTCTCTTTTGCCAAAATCAATAGGCAAATATTCAATTTTTGAAAAATGAAATCCAAAGCCAGTTCTTCAGCAATTCCTCTTTCACTGCTCTGCTCTGCTTGGCTTCCTCGGAAATTCTGCTAGCACCAGGTTTAACTCGGCTCAACTTTATCTTTATTGTCCTCAGAGGGCAATCGCCTTAACAGCAAGACTTACACATAAATTAAGATGTAGGAAAAAACAACTGTGGTAAAGTACAGTGTGTGCACAACATAATATTCATACATATCCAAAAGAAAATGCAGAACAATTTACCATAATGGCATAAAACAGAAAGCAGCTCAAGCCTAGATGGGTTTTTGTTGATCAAAATAATAAAAAAAAAACGTTTGATGAAGTATCTTATAGAGCTCATACAGAACACAATGTATTGCATCATCTGAGCAAGTTCAAGGTGATATCGACTAGTTTTCAGTTGTCTTCTCACTTTGTAAATGATGAAGCTTCAATGACAGAAATCAAAGTTTGAAACTAGGGATGTCCGATTATAACCTTTTGCTGATAGGGCGATATTGTCCAAAAGCTTCATTTCCAATTCTGATATCAACTGATACCGATATATGCAGATGCTTGGGTTAAAGACAGAGGACACGATTAGTGTGCAGCGGTGTGTACAATGTACAATGACAATACTGTGCATAATACAAATAATAGATTTGCTTTCACTTCAAAACTATTTTTCGTTGTGTTATCAGGTTTTTAATATTGGAGGAAAAACTGCTGATTCTTACCGATATTACATAACTAAGGCCGATATTATTAGATATCTCTATTTGAATGGATTAATAATTTTTATTGCTTATGTACAGTATATTGACTGACACACAATGAAGAAGAAAGAGGTGGAACTCACCTTCTCAGGCATGTCCTTATGCTGGGCCAGTGTACAAAGGTGGTGGAAGACCACTGGATATTGCAAATTATAATGAGGTCATGTTAATGATCCTAACACTTACTCACCCCTGATATTTGGCAACGAACATAGTTATATTTAAATAGTTGTTCAAGAATCCTTAAGCAAGTTTAAATTTTATTATAGGCCTTGTAGTATGTTTCAGCAGCCCAGACAATACAACTAACCCTAAACTGCCTTTCTGTAAGTCATATGACTGAGTCCAAAAGGGGTATTAATAAAGATAACTTTTAAAAATGTCAGATTTTGTAACTAACATGTGAGGATATAAATCAGTTTTAAACCTTAAACAATGACCAATTTTAAATTTAAAGCAAAATTTCATTGAAATTAAGATGGAAACCTAGTAGAAATTATTTTGATCTATTTTAAATTTCCGCAAAGGTTTCTAGCTCCCCTTCTCTTTCCTGTTTTCTAAAGCTGAAATAACATTTGAAGGGAAACTCGATTTCAGTCCTAAGACAAGGCAAAAAAAGCAGTTTGTGACCTGGTACAGAAAACATCCCAGATTCTATAAAGAAGAAAACAGAAACAGAAGTGTGCCTACCAGAGGCATGGAAAGACCATTACTCCAACCAGCATTGACATAAGTGACAAGTTAGAATGTTTAATCTTGTGTCTTTTGTGAATCAAGCTTCCAGTGACCATTTATCCTACATTTGTACAGTATTTCAGCAAAATAAAGGGTTGCAGGCGAAGCATTCCGCAAATTCAGATGTGAAGAAAGCTCACAATAGTTCTTAACCATATAAATGCATATTACATTATGTGTTTCAGGAGTTAACAAACAACTAGACTCATGTACTGTTCTCAATGAATTTAGCTATACAACTTGCTTAGAACACAAACACACACACCACAGTGTAAATGTCCACCTGTTTTAAAAGACAATCTCAATCAGCAGTTGCAGCCCTTTTCAGCTGATGCTGTTGCTAGTTCCTCTTCATCTTCAGCTTGGTACAGGACCTTAGCAGTGAGGCCGCTCTTCACACCATCCCATCCATCGCGGGTCACAATCTCCCCTATCTTCATGAGCTCGTAGATGTCTTTTGTGAGCAGCTCAAAGGCCCTGTCTACGTTGCTGTTGCACTTGGCTGATGTCTCCACATAGCGGATTCCCAGTTCAGCTGCCAACTGCTCCGCCTCATCGCGACTCACCTTGCGTACCTTGTTGAGGTCGCTTTTGTGACCAATGAGGATAAAGACCATATGGTGAGGAAAGATGTGCTCACTCACTTCCTTGTGCCACTCCTTCACATGGTCAAATGTTTTGCGATTAGTGAGATCAAAAACCAGCAGCCCCCCCACAGAGTTGCGGTAGTATGATGTTGTAATGGACCTGCAGGGTGAAAGGTGATAAGTTAGTAAAATAATCACATTTAATCAGGTAGTCCACATAGTAATTGTTTTTACAATGGATGTCCTTTCTGACCCACCATAAGCCCACCATAAGATTTGACCTTGGACGGGCATGGGCAAGCTAAGGCCTGGGGGCCGGATGCGGCCCGTTCAGCTTTTTAATCCGGCCCACCAAACTTTTCCAAATTATATAATTTGTTTATATTATCATTATACTTCTGCCTTTTCCCTGCAATACTCATGTTTCCTCAATAGATGGCGAAAATGATAAAAGTATTTTAACATTTTAGCCTTTATGCATGACTTTTACATGTCATTTATCATAGTTCACACAAATGTTCCATCTCACTGCTCCTGACCCGGCCCCTCTGTTCAATTTTAGGACAATTGTGGCTCGCGAGTCAAAAACATTGCCCACGCCTGGTATAGGAGGTATATTTGTGATTTGAAAAAACAAAAAACACTGTTATTTCTTACCAATTTCCAACATCTACAGCAACTTTTGCATAAAAATAACCGATGTCTAACAATCATCTGAAACATAAAAATGAACTTTGCAAATAATACATAGGGAATTCCATATATTAGATAGATACCCAGTGGTGGGCCGTCAGGGCCAGCAAGGCCTTCTCTGCTGGCCTAAGATAAATCATGATCATAAGTTGATAAAAGTTCATTTAATTTTTTATTTACTTTTCCTAAATACATAAAAGCATACTTCATATTCTTCCTATTCTCTTTATGTCATATTAGGCTCCTTTCAGTCTTGCTGTTTTTAGGTTAGAGTTTTTATCCAATCAGAATTCAGCTAGCTGTTGCCAGGCTGTATGAAATCTGCCCAAGGCCTTCAGAATCAACAATGCCGGCCTCTGTGCAATGTAAGCAAATCGAAGCAAACAGGCACATACAGTTGATAGACAGTTGTGATAGCCAATCAGATCACGAGTTGTTGACAATAGGCCTTCTGGCGGGCCTCACGTTGAACGTGACATGTATGTGTCTTGTGATTGGATACTCGTTTACCGCCGTAAAACAACATGGATGATTTTGAGATTTGTTTTTTGTTCAAAACATTTAATGGGCTTTTTGGGCATGCTGATGTGCTCTTTGGAATACTACAAAAGAAAACACTGGATGTACAATTCTGCTTGGCAAGGGTGAATGAGTTCTGTGACACAGTGGAGCGTGCGAAGGGCAAATTCAATCAGATTTATGAAGAAACGGTGAGCATCTCAGGGGCTCCAAGCGTTTGCAGAGGCCAGCGCAAGGTGACTTTTTGCGAATTAAAACATATGCAAGAAACATGACTGGACAGACAGTGGCGGCTTTCAGCATTGGGCTCCATGTCGATAGAAAAGGATTTATTAAGTCAATGAGGTCTTCTTGAGGAAAGAAAGGAGAATGGATTTTGTGTTGAAATAAGTGTTTTATTTACTTGCGGATTTATATGCATCAGAAAATAGCCCGTTTTGTACACAATTGAGGTTATTCAATGCCCAGTAGTGCTTATAGTGTGTTTCAATTTCTCCAGCCGTGGTCACGTGGTGTCCTAAATTATGATATTATGAGAGGTATTTATTGAAGTCGGACTAAGTAGGACACCACTGAAGGCCTAGGTGTGAAATGCATGGCCTGCCTCTGTAGATACCATATATTATCCTTGGTTCAAGTCCACACAACAGTGGTTAGGAAACTCTCTCTGCTGAGCCCCCCTTAGGTTCATAAGAACATTTTCAAGCCCCCCGCTCCCCCCAACAGGACACATATTTTATTTTCATACTTGTTCATTTCACACATTTTAATTGTAACCGTTTTTACGCATCTTAAACTTAAAATTTTATGCAAGGATTCCCAACTTTGGTCAGTTGGCAGGAGTGAGATTTTGTTATATTGTTATTAGATATTCATTATACATTGCCTTCAACAATTCTGTTTTTGTTTGTTTTGTTTTTTGACAGTCTCTCGTCAAACATTTACAGCATTTGACAATATGCTGCATAACGTTTCATTCATTCATTCCATCAGCGCCCCCCTGCAATGGCACTGCGTCCCTCATTTTGGGAATCTCTAAATCAACCGATGAACGATCTACAGAACAATGATCACCACCGTGTACACCCCGATCACCCCACGCCCCCACCCGCCCTTCACAGACTGCATTCGGGGTTTTGTTGTTGTTGTTGTTTTAACATAACTACGAAACGTATGCTTGTAAGCTGAAACATCGACCAGTAGAAATTTTGAACATTTATAGAGATTAATCAAGTCTGTGTTGTACTGCTATGAGACTGCAATAGAAGCAAGTGCTTGAAATGAATCGGACATTTAGGGCCTATATTTGAACTGCCAGTCATGTCATAATTCACGCTGTGGATTACAGTGTTTTCACAAAGTCCACAGCATCACGATTACAATACATGTCTATCCATCCATCCATCCATCCATCCGTTGTTGACTTTTGTTTTTTATCACCATACGCATTATCGCTGAGGTACAGTGACATGTCATCGATGATTTTTATTTTAAGCTGTATTTATACACAGCTTCTACTATTTCCTTACCTAAAGCGCTCTTGGCCTGCTGTGTCCCAAAGCTGCAGCTTGATTTTCACACCGGGCTCGATGTCAAGGGAACGGGCGTAGAAATCAACCCCGACAGTGGGGTCCGCGACGTCGCTGTAATAGCCGTCCGTAAAGCGCTTCAGCAGCGATGACTTACCCACCGTCGAGTCCCCGAGAAGGATGACCCTGAACTGATATTGCCACAAAATATCCATGGCATGACGAGCAAGGACGGTACAAGCTAAATCTTTCGTGTTTCTTTTCGCGTGGGGGTAAAAATTAAGCGCTGTGTTTACATCGATCTGTCGCTATCGTCCAGAAAACACTCAACACGCTGAGCATGGACTGACCGCAGCCGTCATGTGACAGCTTCTTCTGTAACTCCAACACAAATAACCTGGTGGAATAGAGCTGATTATTACATATTTTCGATAAGCCTGGATTTGAAGTCATAGAAACACTAAGTTGTACTGACGAGTCATTTTAACTCAGACTGGGGGTGGTAAAGCTGGTTGCTGTCCGTGGTTCTGAAAATGGGGCAATGGAGGCAGCAGGCTTAACTTCCGGTTTTTGTTTGTCGCAGGGTAAACTAAAGGGGTTTTACAAAAACTGAGACTATGTATACATTTTTATTATTTAGTGATGATTTCATTTTTTAAATAATTTTTTTCCTATACATACTGTACATCTTGCTCAAACTTTTTGTTCGTTGGAGGGTAAACCATAGGTACTGTACATATGCTATGTTTTATATATACATTTTTATTATTTTGTGATGATTTTATATTTTTTTACTTATTATTTTTTTTATGCATACATTGTACTGCCAAAAAAAGTGTGTTTGGGCGTCAAAGACTACTTGTCCCATCATGCAAGTGGTCACGTCAGCTATGCGGACCAATCAGAGAGAAGCGGGTTGGCCTTCGTGGATATAAAGCCAAGAGAAACCATCTTTCTCTCTCTTTCCGTCGTGCCTTCAATGTGCTCGCGTGAGCTGGAGAATGAGTTACAAACTATTTAGGTAAGTCCGTTGTCGGTCTACATATACAACTTGTAGACAGATATTTACTTGAACACTAGTTTTGTTATTAAGTTTTTCAGTGTTGAGTCCTGTAAGTATGAATTAGATGCTTGCTAGCCATCGGCTATATTCAGAGGGTAGCAATCAGCTGTTAAAAGCGACCTATTTTTGCTCCTGAGAAATGGGCCGGTTCGGTACTATACCGTAATTTCAAGCTTCGTTCTATATTTGTATATGCATTAAATGCTATTTTAACTTCATTTTCTTTTTTTTAAGCATTAGCAGTTGAGCTAATGCAGGCGTGGCCACGTGTCTGACTCGCAGCACAAAGTTAAGATTTGACGTATCTGTACAGATGACCACAAAAGAGTATATGCTTTTTGGTTGAATACTGTGTGGTGATAAAATTATATGGATACAGTGAAGGGGGACATGCCGATAGTTGAAGTCAGAGTAGAGGATACAGAGAATAGCGCAATATGGAAATCAACGATTCGCTGTGGCAACCCCTTGAAAAAAAGGACAAAGCCGAAAGAAAAACACTGGTGATACAATTAAGACGTAATTCCTTTCGTTTTCTAGTCGTTAATGCTACAAAGTCAAAGTCATTACGGCAACTTTGACGCTGCGGTATACACGAAAGGGTATTTTAGACAACAAATTTAAAATGGTGTTTAAAAAATGGTATCGTTTTCATCACCGATTTAAACGACATAAATATAATTGTGAAACTCCTGCTTTATAGGTCGAACCATTCATGGCGCAACCATACGTTCTGCATATATTCAGGTATGTATAAAACGTGGTCCATGTCCACGAGGCTCCGATCGAAGCCAGTCGTGCTCATGTGGCACGAATGGTCAAAAGGAAGCCAAGAGTAAGACTTTCACCGACGGTCGCTGTGCAGTTTGAAAATGGCTGCTTTAGCAACATTTAGGGGGAAGGACAACCAAAATATTCTCAAAGAATAGGTGTGTGTGTATGTATGTGTGTATATATATGTGTGTATATATATATATGTGTGTATATATATATATGTGTGTATATATATATATATATATAAATATAGGTGTATATATATATATATATGTGTGTGTATGTGTGCGTAGTATTCATAGCAATTCTAATTGTTGCAGGTTCCTTGGGACTTGGCATAGAGACTGAAAAGAGGTAAATGTTGTGCCGTAATGAAAATGTGTTTCTGGCTGTGATGACAAACTTGCCCTCACTGAAATGATCTGATTGAGATTTTTGTTAACTGAGCCATTTTATCAGATGTTTAATTGAGCTGAAGTAGTATGACTGTGTATTGAAGATCTTTTTTGTTTTTAGGTGACCATGGGTAACTAGACAGTCACGAGAGAAACGTGCTCAGTGAAAGGTATGCTTTAAATACATATGCTCTGAAGTACATTTTAAGCATGCTATCCTAAGGACCTGGGCTCCTCCGTAGTTCAAGGTTCTCCAAGTGCATGCAACAATATTGGCCAGACTTTGACTGCTGTAGACCTAATTTGTCCTCAGCAGCCACTCATCTGCCCAACAGCTGTTGCTAGAATTTCATCAGTGAACAATTAATCTAATATTTCCAGGCAACACATGGCTTCATGACAAGATCATCGTTTTGCTGTTTGAGACCCAAACTACCTCATGTAAAAGTATGTATAAAATGTTAACATGGTTGACTTTGCTCTGATCAGTGATGATGTTAAAATCAAAGACTGTAGGATGACTTTCGGATATGGGGCTGAGATCAGGCCCATATGTCTTAAAATAGGAAGTTGAACATGAACTACACTAATCATGACAAATCTCTAGGTACTCTGACCTGTTGGTGCTTGAAGTTGTCCTTCTGGAAGCTGGCCAGCATGTGATGGGTGGGTTCCATAGTGTAGTGGTTAGCACGCCTGCCTCCAGAGCAAGCAGTCCTGGGTTTGATTCCCAGAGGAACTACAAGTTTGATGAGCCTTGTAAGTTGCTAAATGTATACATGTTAAATTGCTGCTTTTTGACAATGCATAATAAACACTTATTGGTAAATTGTTGGTTTTATTTTACTGGTTGAACTCATGGGACACAGGAATACTCTTAAGTTTATTCAACAGTGGAACTGGTGGTTATTTGAGCACAGGAAAGTGATAGGTGACAACTGCATTTCTTTTTCCTTAATGGAAATTCCAAGAACACTTGTAATGGTCTGCCTTGAAAACAAAGAGCTACAACGTCAAATTTCATCCTAGTTGCCCTATGTTGGGTTTATTCTAACAAGTGATGACAAAGTAACAACACAAATACGTCTGGATCTTTTTCTTGCAAGGGGAGAATGCAGCTTGCTCTTCTGGCAGCTGCCTCATCAACTCCAAGTTGCTGCACCCTTCCCTTGCTCATTTATTTAGTTTGCAAAAGTATCAGATTACATAACATTTGATTTAGTGTGAGTATATGGGGTAGGAAGCTGGATATGTAAATGGGTATGAATGGGGTGTGACTAGGAACAGATGGGACGTAAGCAATTTGTTAAAGTGACAGTAATATTATTACTGGAGTAAATATGGGAAGCAATTGGTTTGCTAAAGCGACAGTACAGCATGAAGCAATGATAATAAATGCAATTCTTCCAACACCCTATCAAACATGCAATTTATTGACTTGCATTTTCCTATCTGCAGGAAACACTGATCTGAATAATGATCTGAGGGCAATTTATTTTTTCCCCTGAGAAACTCTTTGCACTAATCACATTGCCCTGTCCTTGTTGTACTTGCTGAGGTTGAAGTATTGTGAAAATTGGACAAATTGTTTGCTAGGCATGCTGTAAGGTGGAAAAAAACAACTCCTAAGGCAAACCACTAATGGGACAGTACCTAATTGACTGTGGTCTAGGTTTGACTAGAGGCCAATAGCAACTTGAGCTCTGATTGTACCTTGGATAAAATGTCAGCTATTATTTCAGTACAGAACTTGATGTTAAACAAGTAATAAGGCCATTTATCTTAGGCTGTTGAAGATACAGCAACCCTTTACCATATACTGTAGCTCTGAATTGTTCCAGCTGATGCAACAACAAACCTGGATGTGAGGCAAGTGGATTGTGCTGCACATCAGTGAAATATGGATCTGCTGTGAGTTGTAATTGCTGCAACTGATTTATATATGAGAATGACAGTTTGGAAAAATACATTTAAAGAGTAATGTGCTCTTAGATGCCAAGGACAGAAATTGATTTTATTTTATTTTTTTTGGAATGCTAACTCATAGACATAGATAACTATCATGTTCAGTTTTATTGGTCATTGTGATCTTTAAATCAAGCATGGCTACAATGTGATTTATTATATGTGTATATACAGGAAATATATATACATATACGGAAAGTATTCAGACCCCTTTAAATTTGTCACTCTGTTTCATTGCAGCGATTTGCTAAAATCAAAAAAGTTCATTTTATTTCTCAATGTACACTCAGCACCCCATCTTGACAGAAAAAATGCTGACCATTTCTTCTGATCCTCCTTGAGATGGTTCTCCTCCTTCATTGGAGTCCAGCTATGTTTAAATAAACTGATTGGACTTGATTAGGAAAGGCACACACCTGTCTATATAAGAACTTACAGCTCACAGTTCATGTCAGAGCAAATGAGAATCATGAGGTCAAAGGAACTGCCCAAGGAGCTCAGAGACAGAATTGTGGCAAGGCACAGATCTGGCCAAGGTTACAAAAGAATTTCTGAAGATCACTGTGGCTGAGCTCCAGAGATGTAGGGGGGAGATGGGAGAAAGTGCCACAAAGTCAACTATCACTGCAGCCCTCCACCAGTCGGGGCTTTATGGCAGAGTGGGCCGACGGAAGCCTCTCCTCAGTGCAAGACATATGAAAGCCTGCATAGTTTGCCAAAAAACACATGAAGGACTCCCAGACTATTAGAAATATATATAATATATATAATATATATATATAATATATAATATATTCTCTGGTCTGATGAGATGGAGATTGAACTTTTTGGCATTAATTCTAAGCGGTATGTGTGGAGAAAACCAGGCACTGCTCATCACCTGTCCAATACAGTCCCAACAGTGAAGCATGGTGGTGGCAGCATCATGCTATGGGGGTGTTTTTCAGCTGCAGGGACAGGATGACTGGTTGCAAATGAAGGAAAGATGAATGCAACCAAGTACAGAGATATCCTGAAAGAAAACCTCTTCCAGAGTACTCAGGACCTCAGACTGGGCCAAAGGGTCACCTTCCAACAAGACAATGACCCTAAGCACACAGCTAAAATAACGAAGGAGTGGCTTCGGAACAACTCTGTGACCATTCTTGACTGGCCCAGCCAGAGCCCTGACCTAAACCCAATTGAGCATCTCTGGAGATGGCTGTCCACCAACATTCACCATCCAACCTGACGGAACTGGAGAGGATCTGCAAGGAATAATGGCAGAGGATCCCCAAATCCAGGTGTGAAAAACTTGTTGCAACATTCTCAAGAAGACTCATGGCTGTACTAGTTCAAAAGGGTGCTTCTACTTAATACTGAGTAAAGGGTCTGAATACTTATGACCATGTGATATTTCAGTTTTTCTTTTTTAATAAATTTGCAAAAAATTCTACATTTCTGTTTTTTCTGTCAAGATGGGGTGCTGAATGTACATTAATGAGAAATAAAGTGAACTTTTTTGATTTTAGCAAATGGCTGCAATGAAACAAAGAGACAAATTTATGTGTATATACATATGTATGTACTGAATTACACATAGCTTTGACCAGGTATTAGTGGTCAAACACATACCTTGAAATAACATTTTACAATTTTACAATTAATATTTAAACGGACCTGACAAAATGTTTTGAGACGGAGAAAGTATGTGATTCTATTCAATTTCAACAAGACTTTTTAGCATTGACCATGTAGCTCACTTTTAGTAGCCGTAGGTGGTGCTAAGTTACATTCTGGCTAGAGGCTTGTTTCTCGATCAAGCATTGCAGCAGTGGCACAATTCTGTCCAGGCCATGTTCATGTACATCTTGCGTAGAATTTTATGACTTTCCCCTGGTGTTTAATTGAAAAAACATGCATTATTATACAAAACTACTGTGGTTCACAGAACCAAATGGAAAACAAGTAAAAAGGGGAATCTTTAAAAAGCAATCTATGGTAATGTATCTTTTGTACTGGAGCTTTACACAATGTTTATTTCAAATCAGAAGCATAATTTGCTATCTAAGCTTACATTGTTCTTTAGGTTTGATCCCTTGTACATACTTCAAAGCAATGTTTATGCCTTTCCTAAACATTTTTTCTATGTCCATGGGGCAGTGGTGACTTAGTGGTTAAGGAAGCGGACCAGAAGGTTTCAGTCTACCGGCTGCCAAGTTACCACTGAGGGGCTCTGAGCATGGCACTGTCCTCACACACTGCTACCAGGCAGCTTAAAGCTGACCCCTGCTTACTTAGGTAATGGGTTATCATTGGTCAATAATTCACTTTTATTCACTTTGTACAAAGGTAATGCAATACTGCTGTAAATTGGTTTTAAGTGACAACCAAAGATCTCTTGTCTAACCTAACTGTGCCAACCATTTATCCAGGGCTGTGTCTGACATCTAGATCAGTGGCAGGTTTGGACATAACTTCTTTTGGAAAACCACAATTTCACACAATTAGTGGTCAAACAGTGTACACTGTAAATACTGATATAAAAAAAACACCACAGAATGTTTGAGTTACGTTACTGAGTTGGCATCTGATTGTAGATAATGAAATTAGCAAAGTTAGCTTCAATGTACATCCATGTGTTTTATTTTCAATGTGTAGATGTGGAGAAGCATCTTTTTTTCCTGAACCACAAATGGCAAAGATCTCAAAATATTTATTGACATGGAATAAGGTAAAAGACTTAAAATTTTAAATGAGATGATAAATGAAAAAGCAAAGTAAGATTGATGTGTTAAATATAAAAAGACAATCATTAGCCACAAATTAACATAGCTGAAGCTTGTCTGGTGCTCTTGTGTTCTAGGCTATATGCATTAGTTGCTGCTATACAATATTAAAGCAGCAAATGGAAAATGACAGCAAATATTCTAATTGCTACAATGACTCAGATGCAATTCCTATCAGTTCCTTTGATGTTGTCCATGTTAGCTGCTGTGGATATGTTTGCTAAATAAAGACATAAACATTTAATGTAACATATCATGTGCTGCATTTTGCAATGCTCTTGCAATGCATCCTCCTCTAAGCACAAATTAGAAACACTGTGACTGATTTGTAGCCAACTCATCACGTGTATATTTACAGCAGCTAGCAAACATGCAAACAAATGCTACTGTAAGTATTGTGGACTGTGGGCCAGGATTGTACATCAAAGGTAGGATTTTAATCTATTTATCCCATACATTTTTGATCGCAGCAAAAGGCTCTGGTCTGACATTTGTTTGTCTCTTTCACATCAATAAAAAAGACAAGCAATACAATAAATACGAATCTCCTTAGACATTTCCCATGGTATGTAATTGTAATATTGTAACTGCTCTGAGCAGTGGTGGCTTGGTGGATAATGAAGCAGACTTGGGTCCGAAGGTTTTCAGTTTTTAGTCCACCAGCTGCCAAGTTACCACTGAGGTGCATTTACTCCCCCGGCCACCATCCTCACACACTGCTCCATGGCCGCTTTAGTGTCCCCCTGCTCACTTTGGTGATGGGTAAAATGCAGAGGTCACATTTTGTTGTGTGCAGTAGTGTGCTGTGTTATAATGACAATAGTTCACTTTCCTTGAATATGTTGAACTTTAAAAATATAATATGATAACGTGCTCTGTCTTCTGCACATCATCCATGCAGCAAATGCAAGTGGCTTTCCCTGCTCAGTTCTGTCACTTGATGCTAAGAAAGCATTGGATATTGGCAACTCTGGACAATTTTGGATTAGGTTCAGAAATCATACAAATGGTCAAATCCTTCTACAATGGTCTGTATCAGGGGTGTCAAACTGATTTTCACCTGGGGGCTACATCAGCAATACAGTTACCCTTGAAG